TATAATAATTAATTAAAATTAAAATATATGATAATAATAATTAAAAGTGTGACAATAAAATTATCTTTTTTCATTTTTTTCTTTTTCTTTCTTTTCTTTTTTTTTTTAAATGTATTTTATTATTGGTATGAACATGTGTTTCCAAAGGCCCAAGAACTGGGTTTGGATTTGATGCGTTGCAGAAAGCCCATTCGGATTTCCGACGGAGACATTTTAAGATCACGACACGCCGCTGCATTTGCACGACGGCTAACGGATACACTGGTTTTGTCTGCCAATCCATCCCCATTCGATCCTACCTTTGTCTTGTGTTGTCGGAAAGCACTTCCCGAATTTATTTTCTTCTTGAAGAAATGGGCATGCTTACAGGTCTGTTTCTTTCTCCGTAACGCACATAAGCTGTTTGTTGAATTTCCCCAAAGAGATTTTTTTGCATTTGGGTTTAAGTTTTGCCTATAAACTTGATTTTTATCCCTCAATTTCTCATTGGGATGATAAAATTTTGTAGATTTTCTTTCAAACTAATGATCTCAGCTTGTTTTTGTTGTTGTTGTTATATCTAGAACTAGAATTGATTGTGTACGTTTTGTTATCATGTATATGTTAAGCGTGTAGCTAAATTACTTCATTTGTTAAGCACATGAATTGTGTTGAAATTGTAAGATTGCATTGGTTATTCTTTTTAATTGATTCATTCAGTTCTGTTGATATCCCATTCAAACAGTTGGGAGTTATTTACTGTGTTTACCCATCCAATGCTTTGTGTAGTTGATTATTAGATATTGCAAATCTCGTCTGATATGTGCAGTCGATGTGAATTACTCTACTTTAATTCTTTGTACAATGAATGCCATGGGATGTTGAAACCTTCATTTTTTTTTTTCCCATTACGCTATTAATTTGTCTATGAAAGAAATCAATATGACTTCATTTTCATAATAATGCTGATTGTTCCCAGGGTTGACTATAGAAAATAAATTTCAGCCCAAATCTATAGACTTGCAGAGAAGACAAATCCAAGGTAACTTTCGTAATTTTCAGTCATATTCGGTCCTTCCTTTCATTACTTAGTAGAACCCCTTTTGTTCAGCATTTAACTCTACGTATCTGTGAAAGCCAATCTCTAGTTGCATTGAACATAAAAGATGATCACCTGTTAATTTAATATGAGGGTTCTTTTTAGTGCAAATGTATATTCAGTTTATTTCTCAAGACTCCCGTGTAAGCAGGTCTAAAGGGGGAAAAGCTGCAGTTTCCAAGAAGCTGGTCCTATCTAAAGAACAGAATTGCTTGCAGTTTATCCCAGCCAGATGGAATTTCCTCTGCTAATGTGGAGTGTAAAAAAGATCAGCCTTTGGTTAAGATGTGTGGAATTACATCTGCTAGAGATGCTGCTTGGGCAGCAGAAGCTGGTGCCAATTTCATTGGGATGATTCTGTGGCCTAACTCAAAACGTTCCATTTCACTTGCTGCTGCAAAGGAAATTTCAAAAGTTGCGAGGGAATATGGGGCAAAACCTGTTGGAGTATTCGTGGATGATGATGCAGACACAATATTAAGAGCGTCAGATGCATCAGACCTTGAACTTGTGCAAGTATATATTTGTTTGATCTCATTATCTTTGCATGTGGCAAAAATAAATTTCCTAATCCTGTTGCTTTGAGGTTATGCAGCTTCACGGAGAAGGTTCTAGGGCAGTTTTTCCAAAATTAGTGCAAGACAGAAAGATACTATATGTTCTTCATGCTAATGCGGAAGGGAATCTTTTGAACCAAATTTCTGAAGAAGATTGCTCTTTAGTAGATTGGATTCTTGTGGATAGTGCAACTGGTGGGAGGTGGGAACTTTCTTGTGCTTTTATTTATTCTAATGTTGTGCATTTTATTGTTTATGCTGATCTATCTTAAAGTTTAGTACCTCTCGCTTTCCTGCTTACGAGACAAATTTGTTCTGATCTACCATCACGACATTTGCATTATCTCTAGTGGCAAAGGGTTTAATTGGGCTGAGTTCAAGTTACCACCAATCAAAAGCAAACATGGATGGCTGTTGGCTGGAGGGATCAACCCTGATAATGTCAGTGAAGCAATCTCCACCTTGAAACCCCATGGAGTTGACGTGAGTAGTGGCATCTGCGCAACAGATGGTATTCAAAAGGATCAATCACGAATTTCTTCCTTCATGAGTGCAGTACGTTCCGTGCGCTATTAAGTGATAATAGGAAATTGCCACAGGGCAAGTAATTCAATTGTCTAGGCACCAATTTGTTATCTTCATGTACATTTATTAGCTGGAATCCGTATTTCATTCCATGAAATGATAAGCATCCATGGATGCATTTTTGTTCTGCTGAATTTCAGAGCATTTTAAGTAAAAATGTTACTTTTGACTTTATGCACGTGCATCTTCTGCAGCTTGAGCATGCTTTTAAAACTATTAAAATGTCATACATTTGACAAGGGATGCATTTTCATCTCAAAATTCATAACCTTTAAATTTTTTTAATATATTAAATGATAAATTATATAATAAAAAATTATTTTTTCCCTTAATCTTTCAAGATATGAATTTAAAATCTAATTTAAAGTCTTAAACCCTTAACTATTCTAACTTAAAACCTTGAGCTTTTAATCAGTTGAAACTTCCCTTGGAGCAACCATATTTTTTACTCAAAAGTTGAATGATATTAAGGGCTTCAAGAACAAATTATTAGTCCCACCACCACTCCTTGGCATCTCTGAGCGACTAGTATATACCTTCCCCACTCATGACTCATCCACACACACCACCACCACTGAGAAAATATTAGAAAGCTAAAATGAATGATTTTCTTTGATGATGATAAAACCATACATCATTATACAGCTTGCCTTGCAGCAATAGAATGGCTCTTCCCAGTATGAGGAAAGAATAAATGAGGCGAAGAATGAGAGCCAAAAGTGATGATACAAATAGGTTAGACCTTAGACCTTCAAACAATTCATCGTAGCCTAGTACTTAAATAATTCAATCTGATTTCTTAGATCCATGTAGTTGAGGGTCAGCTTGATAATAGACAACATCTCCTTCATTGCTCACGTAGTGATCTTGCTTCATGCTTCTTATCAGAGTTCCAAGTAGGTGAAATGGGAGAGGACCAGATTTCTTTGGCTCCCGGTAGTATTTTCCAAGCACTGGCTTTGCTGCCTCGGTCTGTAATGCAAGTAAATAAATGTTGGAGAAGAGATAAGAATGACTTTCTAAGCCAAGTCGTTAGTTGGAAAACGGGTAGATAAAAGGGTGAAGAAAACTCACCGCTTCAATTAAGTGATAGTGGGGGATTTGGGGGAAGAGGTGATGAATCACATGGGTTCCGATGTCATGGTGGATGTTGTTAATCCAGCCATAGTCACGATCAAGAGTCGTTAGCCCTCCTCTAAAATAACTCCATTCCTGTTTAATAAACAAAAAAAAATGATCAATTACATCAAACCAAAGCACAAATCTTCTTTGGCAAGAAAAATGATTTCTAGACTAAATGCCACAGCACATATATGGAACATGGATCAATGGTAGATGGTATAAAACATATATGTCTTCTTGCATGAATTGGAGGCAGAAGTTCATAAAACAATAATGCCAAAACGTTTGAACAATATATCTGCAGACTGCAGTAAATTTTTAGATAAATTCTCATACCTTTCCACGGTACCAAGGAAGTTTCTCCTCATGGCCATGGTGATGCAGATAAGTCACCAAATCCAACCACATGACAAAAACCTGCCATTTTGAATGTGAATTTCACATACAAGGTGAGTTACGTTTTGAGAAAGAAAACAAGTAAAATCTAATAAGATACCTAACATACCCAGTAGGGAACACCATAGAGTTTAAGCAGCTGAACAGGACCCATAGCAAAGGATAAATACCCAAGCAGTGCAACCATTGCTAGCCAACTAGCAGTGGAGGTGATAACATCTTTTCTTTCACCGGGGACAAACAAATCGCTGTCTGGATGGAAATGGGATCCCTTCTTTCCAGGACTTCGACCCCACTGAAAATGAAACCATTACCATAGCACAGATAAATACAACCTTAAAAACGAGGTTCATCATTCATTTAAACTGTCAAGAAAACAGATAGCTCACCAGATAGACAGGGAAAGCAAGGAGTGGGAAAGGCAAGGTGAACCTCAGCATTCGGGTTGCGTCATCCAAACTCCTGTAAATTTTCTCAGACAACTGCAAATTCATATGATTTATGTAAGTAACTGCAGTCTTTACTCTTTACTAAATTATTTCCCCTTACGAAGACAGGGGTGCTATTTGACCTAAGGGCAGAACAACTTACTGGCTGCCATGATTCATCATTTTCAACATGCCCATGGTTCTGATGATGAGTTCTGTGGCTAATTCTCCTGCGCATTTCATCAAACATGTAATGGACTATGCATTAGGATTGCCAGAATGTTTTAGGAACAGGGGACTCGAATCAACTGGGACAAGAGAGGTTCAATAACTAACCATCCATGGTAAGGGACGAGAATTGAAGAATGAAGAAGATGACCCATCACACTGTTCAACGTTGGATTGTTTGAGAAACTACCATGACCACTGCACAAACAACGGAAAAACACAAATTAAAACCGTTAATTCCCATCAAAAGATCCAGCAAATCCAATTGAAACAAACAAAGACGGTAGAATCCAATTGAAAACAAACTCCAATTGAGATTTGAAATAAAGAAAGCAACATACCAATCATGACCAAGAACAAAGAGTGCCCAGAACATGGTTCCCTGCGCAAACCAGTAAAGAGGCCAAACGAGCCAGTTGTTGAGGTAAGCAGCGGCAGCAGCCAATCCAAAAACCACAGCCACATCTCTCAGAACATAGCTCATAGATCTCCAAGGATCCTTAACCCAGCAATGTTTCGGTATAGCAGCCCTAATATCAGCCAACCTGAAAGGCGGAGGAGCCCCAGGATCGAATTCCCCATCATCTTCCATTCCCTTGATTCTTTCCCTTTCTTTCTCATCTCCCCCAGTGCTGGGCACCCTCACTGGAGCACTTACATTCAGTGCCCAGTTTCTATCCCCCGACCAAGTCGAGACCTTGAATGAAGGACCAAAAATATGCGCTTTAGAGACCGGAAAAGGTGTAATCTTGATAGCGTTGGCGGTGGTCGGCGGTAAACCAGTTCTGGGTCGAGGGTAAATTTTAGGGAAGGGTCTAAGGCCGCATTCTGGTAAAACCAAACCTGCCATTGAAGACCCAGATGCAGTTTCCGCAAAAATTTCTCCCCTTTAGCTTGAAGAAAAGAAAGAAAAGGTTTTCCCCTACCAAGCTTGTGAATTTCAGAGGCTCCAAAGAAGGAAGGAAGCAAGCAGCCAAGGAGCAGATAACGCGAGGGATCCTCGCCTCCACTTCCAACCACTTAATGCTGCTCGTTGCTTATCCTATGTATATATATGCATTTGCTTCCGCTGTGATTTCTGTGATAGGTTGGCATGTGGGAGTGGAAGCTGCAAAAAATTAAAAAATTAAAATGGATAAATTTGTCAATAAAATTAAAAAATTTTAATTCACTAGCG